GAAGGAAGGAAGGAAGGAAGGAAGGAAGGAAGGAAGGAAGGAAGGAAGGAAGGAAGGAAGGAAGGAAGGAAACTTCTGTTAGGAGAGTTCCTGTCTGGAAGGTTAGAATAAAAAAAAAAAGTAGAAAGGATTGAGTTACCCAGAGGGCAGTTCAGTCAGGAGACAAATGCATCCTGGGATTTTCTCCAAAGCTCCTTGAGATTGGTCTCACCTCTACCTATGCTAAGGTTGGGAAGATTCTGGGGCCCTGGGTATCAGCTGGAAGCTGGGCTCCATGCACACCTATAGTGCTTACACATGAGTCTGTGACTCCTTAATGCACATGCGCATACCTTCCGCTTCTTAGAAGAGACCACGAGCTCTAGGAAGGACAGCTCCTCTCCCCATGAGTCGATCTCCGTGAGGTCATAGAGCGTAGATGTCAGTGGCCCACACGACCACTGAATGCGCTTCCGCTTCTGCATCAGGTGTTGGAACATCTGACAAGGCACAAGGGCCCCGGAGAGGTGACTGTGTGGGAAGCTGGTCCAGGAAAACCACACTGTGAACCAGGCTGGGAGCCCACCCTTCAGAACAAGATGGTGGGGAACCAGGGATCTTCTGCTTTTGTGAATCTTTTTCTTCCTTTGCTTTCTATCTTTCCCAGACATTAACCTCACTAAGTTCTGAATGAAGTGAACACTTGAACTGACCAGGACATTGGGTTCCCCCAGAGACATTTTAGGTGAGGATCTTAGGACTCCTGAATGGGAGAAGCAGGGACTGAAGGTGTCAGTGATGGAGTGGAAAGTAAGGGACACCTCCCTCTTGAGGACCATGGAGAGAAAGGTCCTTGGGGAGACTTCTCGGGGCTAGGGAGCCGCTCACCACAGTGTTGCCCTCCACTCCAGCCAGCTTGAAGGGCGTGAGGCCCTGGTGGTTGGGCACGAGCTCCAGGGACTGCAGGTGGTCCCCTCCATCATAGGACAGCAGCAGGTTGTACATCTGGCAGGCGAAGGTTTTGTTGGGCTGCAGGATGAGGATGTGCAGCACTGTGTTCCCTGGGGAGGGCGGGCTCTCATGTGGCCATGGGCCTGATGTCCCTGCGGGCCCCGTCCCCATCTGGGATGGCCTGTGCCCCTCCTCCCCACACCGTCTGCAGCATCCTAGTATCCACGTGCATCCAGCTCCTACCCAGTGAGTCCTGGGCCCGGATGTTGGCTCCGTGTTCTATGAGCAGTCTCACGATCTCCTCACTGCCCACGCAGGCTGCAAAGGACAGAGGGTGCTCCCCTGGGACACAGAGGGATTAGTGGCAGGAGGCAGCAGGGTCACTGTATGAAGCTGTGTCACCCCCCCTCCACTTAAGTGCCTGTCTCCTCCTCCCTATACCCAGGCTGGGGGTTGGGGACTCTTGTCCAGCAGAACCAGAGGAAAGAACAGTGCAGAGAGGGATGTGGCCCCTGGCATTCAGGGCCAGCAAGGCCCGCTGCATCCCAGACAGCCCACCCCAGCACCCCCAGGTCAGCACTCTGTTCTTCTCCACTTCCTCCTCCTTCCCAGCCTGACCCTGGCACTCACCATAGTAGATGAAGTTGTGGGGGCTGAGCTGGAAAGCCAGACCCGTAGCCCTGGCAGAGACGCTGGCCCCGTGGGAGAGGAGTGCACGCACCAGGTTCACGTTCTGGTTCATGACAGCGATGTGCAGTGCAGTCTGACCTGGACAGAAAGAGCTGTCAGGCCCAGGGCTGTCACCTGCCCACTTCCTAGCAGAGCAGAGCAACCCCACGCCCCGACATCCTGGCAGTGCCTCCCTGACAGGTCCTCCTGAAGACCTCTGCCTAGGGCTCTGCAGAGCGGCCAGGGACTGAGGGCTGCTGCTCCCTGCCCCCAGTTCATTGTCCCTACCCCTCCACTACTGGGTACCAGGGGTCTTGTGTTAGCCATTCTACAGTCCCTGTGAGGAAAACAGGGAGATGTGCCCTCAGGGACTACATGAAGATGGGAAGGATATAGAAACAGCTCGAGGAAATCCCACATGCTCGAAGTGTACAGCGAGACTGTTTTGCTCCCAAGAGTACCTGTTCCCGACTGCATATGCTTCCCCCAAGCCACCCTTCCAGACCCAGGTGACAAGGTGGCAACTGTGCTTCCTATACCCACGGAGAGTTACACACAGCAACCTCACCTACAAGCGGCTCACACAGAGAGGGCTCCGTGACCAAGTCAGGGGCAGCCTCCATCAGCAGCGTAGCAGCCTCCAGGTTGTCATAGAGGGCTGCCACGTGCAGCGCCGTCTCCCCCAGCGCTCCTGGAGTGGAGTAGGATAAGGATGCCAGGCATCACCCTTAGTGCCTCTGGGAAGGGGAACCTGGCTGCACACAACCCCAGACCCGCCTTCAGAGGCCCCCCTAGTCCTGGGTGGGGAACAGGTCGTTCTGCCCCACCTCTATCCCATTACATGGCGCACTTACCTCTTTGTCGAAAGTCACAGTGTTGGTCCAGCAGAAGTCTCTTAAGGGTGCACAGGTCGTTTTCCTTGGCTGCCCGAAGCAGTGGAAACTCTGATATCCTGGAGGAGCGTAAAGAGGAGTCAGGTAGAGACTGTCACAGAGCGGCCCGAGCAGAGGGGACCAGAAGCATCAGACCAAGAGAACAAAATTCCCACAAAGTGTGTAGAAAGAAACTGGCCTTGTCACTCTTTAGGGTCTCATGGGAAACTTGGGCATGGGCAGCTCTCCGGGATTCCCTGACATTCCCTGTGATTTTTATTATGTGAATTTCTTCCAAGCAGGGTCATCCTGGTGGCCTTGTGACTCTGAGCGGTGAGGGGCCTCACAGGAGGATCTGTCCCTGATTCAACAGTGCCCAGGTCTGGCTAGGTAGTGGGGAGGTCCTTGTGAAGAGATCTTTACTGTGGGCGGCTTCAAGGTCTGAGCTGTGGGGTTCAGGTTGCTGCAAGGGGATACCAGTGGCCTCTCAAGTGCTCAGGCCAAAAAGACCTGCTCTGTATCCTTGGAGAATTTAGAGATCGGGAAAGTGGGGGTGGCCTAGGCTGGCTGATAGAATTTAGGGAACTTGCAGATCTCCTGAGCTATTCAAGCCCCATGTGCTCTCTGGGGCTGTCCGGATCCACATCCCTGCTGGGTCTGGAGAGTGTGCAGCACGCTATGGGCTCTGGGTCTCTCCTGCACTTCACCCCCAGCTGTAAGGCTCGAAGCATTGTTCATAGTGCAGGAAGATGGGCAGCAACTTTCTGAGGGCTGAGCCAGTCAATCTGCACATCCTCTGTAGGTTAAACTTTGCCTCAGCCTCTGCTGAGACGCTAACAGAGTGGGAGATAAAGGTGAAACCTTGCTTGCTAAACAGGCAGTGTTGGCCCCAAGGTAAACACAGGATTCGGCACCTTCAGTGTCATGGGACCCTGCTGAAGAGATAGGCTCGTTAGGGAGAAGTAGTCCCCCTGAGATCAGGTACCCCACACTTCTCACTTCAGTGAGCAGAGGCCAGCGAGCAGTTTTCTAGTTGAGGAAGCAGGTTTGTGGCATGAGTAATGCCCCTAGTAGAGACCTGCAGGGTGAGCAAACAGCCAGCCCTCAGTCCCACTGGACCTTGGGTCTCTGACCAGCCCAGAGCAGCCAGCACTGGATTCCAGAGTTTATCTCCTCTTTTGAGGACACTAGTCAGAGCCCTTTTCTCTCTTACCCCTTTATCTTTCTCAACCTCTGCAGCAAGGAGGTCTAAAACCTAACTCTGCTGGAGCTCACCCAGGTCCCACTCTGATGCAGGGGGGCGCAGGAGGTCAGAGTCCCACTACAGGGCAGGGTGAAGGCTGCTGGGAAGCAGGGAGCCTGCAGAGAGGAGAGCTCAGTGCAGAACACAGATGCAGGACCCCTGCTCAAGTTTGCTATGAATTACAAGGTAGGAATAACAGAACACTAACCCTCGCATGTGGCGCTCTGAGGGCCAAGTCAGCCGTGGCTGTCTATTCCTCCCACCCCAGCCAGCTCCAGCAGAAGGCAGGTCCCCAGCAACCATCACAGAGCCTGCCCCTGCCCATCTGCCCTCCCTGGGTCTGGACCTCAGATGTGAGCAGGACCACCAGTCACTGGAGCAACCAAACTTGGACTAACATGGCCCCTGGAGTTCCATATCTCCAGCACCCTCTACTTGCAATAGTACCCACAATAAAAGAACTGCCTATCATCTCAGCTACTTGAGATACTGAGCCAGAGGGGTCATAGGTTCAAGCCCACCCTTGGACACTTGGAAAGACCCTGTCTCAAAGTAAAATACAGTATTGGCCATGCAGCTTAGTGATGGAGCAGCCCAGATATGCATGAGGGTCTGAATTCCATTGCTAGCAGTACAAATTAATACAATCATTTTTAAAAGAAATAAACTAAAAAAGAAAGAAAGAACTGACAAAACTGAACTCTGGACTCTCCCATGTCAACGAGGTGGGCCTCCCCAGGTGATCATCTCTAGGTGCTACACAAACAAATTCCTCCTCCCCTTTCCCAGGCAGCCTCCTGCTCATGGTAACTCTTTGCTCTTCCACCAGGTCTCCTGAAGAAAGGGCCCTTGCACCCTGAAGGATCCATTCCCTTCCCCAGCAGCCTGCTTTCCAGCAGCCTGATTCTGCCTGCCCTCCTCGCCTGGTGCACTGGCTTCTTTGGATGGTCCTTCTGCCTTCTTCCAGTAGGCAGACAACTTCCAGCCTGTGCTGTCATCCTGTCTCCTGTCTTTCCCATTGTTTTCCAGTCTCTAACCACTAAGAGGCCAGCCAGGGAATTGCAGCAGCAGGTAGGAAGAGGCAGAAGAGGAGACCCAGGAGCCGCACCCTGCACGCCAGGGTACTACATCAAGGAACCCTCCTCTGGGTCAGAAGGTTGGGGACGGGACCGTGCTTCTGTCCTTGGCAGCCTACCTCTTCTGCTGCAGCAGGTAGGCCTCATCCAGTTGCAGGTCCCTGTCTTGCTTTCTAACCAGCCAGGAGTTTAGGAGTTTCTGGAACTGGATCCAAGGTCTTTTGGCCCCCATGTCTCTTGCACAGAGGTGACTGGAAGCTGGTGAAGGAGCAGGTGGAGGACGCAGCAACTGAGAGGAAACTGGGTCTGCTGGGTCAGGACCCGGGTGAGTTTCTCCCTCCTGTGATGTGTATGCAGTGTGGGCTATGCGGTGTGATCGTGCATTTGCAAAGGGGTTGGCCACCCAGCAGGGGAGAGGCACTTTCTCTGGAGGGGGAGGTGCTCTTTATAGAGTGCAGCCCGGAAGCATGGCGATTCAGGAGCAAGGAGGGGGCAAGGGAGGGACCTGCTGGGTTCCTGGCAGTGCTCTGGGGAGCCCATGATTGCTCTGGGAAGGCTGAGGGTGGGAAGCAGAATTTGGAGAGAGACCAAGGTGGGTCCATAACCCTAAGAAGAACAGAGGGCAGGATGCAAGAGAGTAGGAAGTCCAGACCTCCAGCTCCAGAACCAGTCCCATCCCAGTTTAGCCCCAGATGCTTCTCCTTACAAAATCAGGTGAGAGCTCTGGACCCCAGTTTCACAACCTCTGAAATAGGAGGAATAATTACACAGTCCCACTGAAGCACAGTAAAGTGTCACTTGTTTTCTGAGCTCACCAACTGTAGATTCTCCTGCGATGGCCCGGCTCAGAACCCTCCAGGGGCTGCTTCTCTGAGCCCCTACCTGTGAACCCAACTCAAACGAGGGTGTCGGGTTCTCCCCCAGCCCACACTCTGTGAGAACACCTCACTCCTTGCTGGTTTCTTGATCCAAACAGAGCTCACTCTCAGATACCTAGAAACTCAGATCCCAAGAGACTCCCCAGGTGAGAGTGCAGGCTGAATTGAGCAGGAATTGAGCAGAAATAGAAGACAAAGAAACCCTGAGATTCCTCACAGGGATGAGATAAAGGGGAGAAATGAATAAAGATAACACAGCATTGTCCTTTTATTGTGTGTGATCATTTATTCTGATGGTTTTCAAAAAGGCATATCAATGTTACTGAATTATAGTTACTTGGATCTGTGGGGTCAGTGGGAACAGTGCAAGCACTCCCTGTTTGATGAAAAATGGCACAGAGAGGGTGTGCCTGCACTTGACCAGAACTCCAAGGCTGAAGGCAAGAGTGAAACTAACTTTAAAGGTGAGTTCCCAGCTTCTGACAAGCCCCTCTCCAGAGCTTGTTGCTTCTTGGAAAACTTCTGGCTGTCAAGTTGCAAGTGACTTGGGTAAGGATATTCTTGGGTCCCTCTCCTCGGGCAAGAGGTCTTTGGGAACTGGAGCCCTCTACTTTCTGTTACTGAAAGATGTGCCCTAGAGACAGGGGACTGAACAAAACAATCTTTAGAGAAGGACAACTTTTAGAGAAGGACAAGAACTGAAAGGGAAATAAGCAAGGAAAGGAAGAGGAGGTGTCTGAGACGGGGAGGACTCTTGTTCTCATCCAGGGAGTGGGGAGGGGTCACCTTGTGGGAAATGTTTCTGCCTCCCAGGGGCCGGGGCTGCGTGGGTGGTAATGGTCCCTGAAGTCTAGGGACTTCCAGTCTAAGGAGATGTAGGAGTGATAAGGTTGAGATGGGGGTTGTAGATGTGCTGATAAGTAAGGGGCAAGCCGGGAAAGGAGCACTGGACCCATAAAGCTAATCCTCCAGGGTGTGGGGGCAGGGAGGGGTGGCCGGAGGAGAATGGCCTGCTCACAGCTGCATAGAGCAAGAGAGCAGGGGGTCGCCACCAAGGGCATTGGTCACAAGTCTGGTTTGGAGGAATGGGGGCCCGTTCTCGTGGCTCCCATCGATAGATCTTTAGTCTCATCTTTGTTGTTCTCTCCTCCAAGTGTCCTCTGCAATGGGAGGGGTGTGGACAAGCAGGCTGGGTGGAAGGAGGAGGCTGCTCCACAGGGTACAGCTGTAGACAGAAGCTTGTGCCTCCCCTCCTCTCTCCTCCGCTCTCCTCTCCTCCTCTCCTTATCTGGGTGGCATTCCACGCTTCTGCCCTGTTTTCCTTTCAGACACTCCCCTCATGCCCAGTCCCCTCATGGACCTACTAAGGCCTCTCCCCCAGGAAGCAGCTAGCAGGGGAAGCCTCAGAGCAGAGCTCAGCCAGGGCCCTTGGTCTGTCAGGAGCAGAACTGAGAACTCCTCTCTCCACCGCTGGGTTCCAGGGCCAGCCCAACAAAGCAGCCTGACTCCTGCATTCCTACCTGATAAGGAGAAATGGAAAACACACTTGGATTTCCATTTTTAGAGAATACACTGTCACCCCAGCTACCCGTGGGCATCTCAGAAAAGGGTCCAAGCAGTGATGGTGATTTTCTTGGCATTCTGAATTCTGAGCCATTTAAAAATACTGTTCTCTATTTCATACGTTTTCAATAAGACAAACCTTTTTAAGGGATTCTTGGTTTCCTGCAAGAATTCACATCTTTGGTCACTAGGAGTCAGGAAGGTACGAGGCAGGGAAATGAAAGTGGTCAGTACAACCCAGTTCTGGCCACCTCGGCTCCCCCCGCTGCAGCCACCTTCTCCGTTCATAGCTACAGAGCTCCAGCTGCCTTAGCTTCATGCCAGGCTCCTCCTACAAAATAGCTAAGAGGAGATTAATGATCTTATTTTTTCCATTCATACATCTTTCTCTGGATCTGCAGGTCAGTGGGTGCAACACAGGGGTGAACAAGGTCAGTGTCTACTCAGAACTTTCCTGTCTATTGAGTGCCCTTGAGTGCCAATCCGCAGCGCTATGCCGCCTACTCTGATCACCAGGAAGTAGGTAGAAGCCAGTGCCGGCTTATTGCAGGCGCATCTGGGAGTGTGGGCAGCGTCCCTCCAAAGAGTCCGTCCTGCCCTGCACTTGCCTTTCTGCAGTTCCCTCCTGCAAGGAGCGTACGCGTCTCTGCACACCCTAGGCCATCCTAGGCCATGCATGCATGTGCTGGACAGACAACAGCAGAGGTGTGAGCAGCTCACGGCAGCTTCTTTCTCCTTGTCCCACCTCGAGTGGCCTCTGTCTCTCTGATGTCTCAGGGAAGGTTACTTATCCCGTGCCCCCTGCGGACCTCGCTGCCAGGAAGCCTGAGTCCATGCGCTCCGGGGCAGGCCCTGGGGCCCTGCGCAGGCTTTCCGCAGTCCGCAGCTTGGGAGCCTCGACTCCCAGCCTCCCCTGCAGACTCTAACTCGCTGCTCCCAACAGCAAGGAGCTTGGAGAGGAGCCCGCAGCACTCAAGCTGAGAGCACAGAGCGTGTCAGTGGAGAGAAGACGGGGTTTCCACCTGAGGAGCCAGAGGGCAGAGAGGAGGACCGGAGAAAAACGGGGGCAAGGAGGATGAAGAACAGCCTCTGCTCGGGGCACACACCCGCCCTCACCCTCCCTGTACGCTTGCTGTGCGGGAGTCTCTGGCTTGGTATCCGTGTCTTTTTCTGCACCTGTCCCTTTCACTGCTCATCTCTGTCTCTAACTCTCTGCTGTGTCTCTCTGTCCCCCTCATGCGCGCGCGCGCGCGCACACACACACACACACACACACACAGAGCTTTCTCAGCACCCCCTCCAGTGTCTCCCCAACCTCAGTTCCCGACACATGCAAGGTTCATGTCAAGCACCAGGCAAACTCAGTACACAAGGACCCTTCTTTCTACCTCAGGTCTGAGATCCCTATAAGCTTCTCTTTTTACAGAAAGGCTGCATGGACTGCTGGGAAGCTGCTATTTTTACACACAAAAGTCCAAATTGCAAGGACTATGGGCAGTTGTATAGTCTTCAATGAGGGAATGATTCCTCTGTGAACCTCAGTTTCCTCATCTGTGTAATGGGTACAGAGTATTATTACTTTGGAGGACTGCTGGCCCTGAATTACTTGTTTCAGTTGCATCGGGTGACCTGCTCTGGCCAGCCCAGAAGCCTCTGCCATCCCCTGCCTGGCCATGGAATGCTCTAGTGGGCTGGAATGAAGGTCAGCCCTGTGGCTGTGATGTCACAGAGCACACAAAATCAGAGCTTTAATGGAGGAGAAGACACAAAAACAGCTCTTGGTAAGGATAAGAGCTGGGACACAGAGCAAGCACGAGCCTGCTGGGCCCTGGGAGCAGGGCGAGAGGCCCGGGTGGGCGGGCAGCCCCATGACCTCCCTGGGCTCCCAGCCCTGCAGGGCAGCTTTCCTGGCTGCCACCCTGCTGCTGCTGCTGTGGGTGAAGCTGGTGAGGTCTCAGCAGGGCAGCCCAGGCCCAGTGCAGAGGAGCCTGGTAGAGAAGACGCCCCCTGCAGGTAGGTGGGGAAGCAAGAGGCAGGTGTGGAGGAAAGGGCTGGACCTGCTTGAGGTCAGGCCCCAGGCAGCTGACCAGGGCAGGGTGACTCTCAGGTGGCTTTGGGTTGTGGCAGAGGACGCCAGGCCCTGTAATCACAGGTGAGCACTGTGTTTGTCCAGGAAGAGGGCTGTGGTTCCCTGTGCACTGGAAGGTGGGGTCACACGTGGGAGGAGGCAGCGCTGTATGTGTGTGTGGAGGGTGTTTGTGTCAGGCTGTGCTTGAGCCCAGGTTGGAAAAGACCTCTGGAGAGAGCAGCGCCTCTCTGCTCATAGCCAAGGATGTGTGAGCGGGCTGAATGCCCTGGGCCTCCCGTGCCCTGACTTCTCATCTTGGTTCAAGGCCAAGGTGGGAACAGATCAGGTCTGGCCTGCCCCCTTTGCCCCTCTGTGTCCCCTCTCTGGCCCCTCTGCCCCTCTCTGCCCCTTCTCCACTATTTTGCTCCCCCTCTTCCCATCTCTCCCATTCCAGAGCAGGGCCAGGAGCAGTATGAGGAACACTTCATGGCCTCCTCACTGGGGGAGAGGTGGCAACAGGACATGACCCGATCACAAGAGGACTTCACGTCGGAGAAAGCCGCTGTCCAAGGCCACCTCTTCGAACTCACTCTCTGCTTTAACCTGGCCAGCTTCATGGTTTTTTTTATGAGGGACATTGAAGCCGAGGCTGTGCCCTGGCTCCTAGAAGAGGAAGACCTGATCTTTTACTTTTGCTTCCTGATCACGTCCTGACCTCCCCTTTCCAAGGGGCTCCAGGCCACAGCTCCCCACCAGGATGCCCAGGCCGCTGCCTGCACACTGTTTCCTGTTCCTGTCAGTAGCTCCTGGCCTTAGAGTGCAGCCTCAGAGGCTTCACTGCTTCAGCCTCTGCCTGATGCCACCTAAGCCCAAAGCTTTGGGTTCCAGGTCCAGAGACGGCAGACCCAATCCCTCTCCTTCCTGTACCTCCCTGGGTTTGACCAAGAGCAGTTTGGAGCAAGGAGCAATGACCATAAAATAGCAATAAAGTCCTGAAAACAATTGGAAGTTTCATTGTGGGCTAAAAACAGGCTAAGGAATATGCATAACTAGTTTGATGTAAACAAACTACTGTCTCTATTCCCTTCAGACATTTGCCAAACTCTCAATTCATACAACGCTAGCCAGTAACATCCCAGGTGAAGGATCAAAGAGTAGACAAGGCACCTTCTGGAGAACCTGTTGTCTGTGACCTGGTATCCCAGCTTGCTGGAGTTTACAACAGACAACAGGTCTCCTTAGGCTCTGTTTCTTGTTCTTTGCTTCCTTGAGAAAGCATTGTTGCTGAATGTTTCTGAAGCATCAGAACCAGGACTGGACTGTCAATCTGTGGCTCTCTGGTGGACTCATCCACATTTTCAGGCCAGGCAATCTATGCAGATAACACAGAGGCAACATAAGCAAATTATTACTGTGCTCCCACTAAACCATTTAAAGGCACAAAAAGGATTGTTTTCATTGCCACTACTGATGCCTTCTGACGTGGCAACACCAGACAATTCTGACTATTGTTTTGCAAAAGTATTATCAATATGTTGCTGAAGAGATGGGATATCAGAGGTAACATGATCATCATATGGTAAATGTTTTTCCCCACTTTCTCATGTGAAATGAATTGGATTCCATGGAATTGGAGTTACACAAAACGAGGAGGCATTCCAAACACATTTTAAATGATGCTGACGCTGCAGATTAACAATTTATTCTCCTGGCATAGCAACAGCGTGTTCTAAGTCATTTATTTTAGTATTGAACTCTGAATCTACATGTCTTTGTGAGGTCTACAATTGTTCTGAGTCCGTGTACCACTGCTATTATTCATAAGTTATGGCTATCACGAGTTCAATCATTCTTTTTGTTCTCTTCTTTAGTGCCTCCAGAAAATGTTGGAACAGCACCATGGAAGAAGAGTCTTCCCAATGACACTGTAGTTGTACAGGAAGCCAAATTCCAGTCTTTGTCTTAAGGATATAAATGCTGTCACTAGAAAGGTTAAGGCTAATAGAAGAATTTAGACTTGCATATAAAGAACAATTGTGACCGGTATTGGTATAATTAGAAGGGTTCCAATAACTAGGTCTTTCAAGCAACAGGTAAAAGAGGTGAAACCATGTGGTGTTTCTTCTAAATTTTAGATGTAAATTAGAGGAGGATAGATTTCTCCATATATAACCTTTCCATACTGACATATGCTTTAAAGAGGTAGCTAACTTGCAAAGATGTTGAATTGGTCCCCCAGGAACATGAGTGATGCTCAGGGACATTCCTCCTCCTTGACACGTTGTGGTATCACTGGCAATGTTAGTGCTTAGCATAAATTCATCGCTGTCATTCCTGTCCTATCTTAATTCCTTTCCTTCCCCTGTCTGGGCTGAGCCATAAGAGCTCCAATCCATGACACTTCCAGAGGCCGGGGATGTAACTCATTGGAATAAGTGCCTGCCTGGCAAGCCCGTGGTCCCGAGTTCGATTCCTGGTACCAAGAAAAAAAAAAAAAGCCTGATATGACACTTACATTGGAAGTATTAACCAATACCCAGGCTGCTGATCCTCTGCAGACTTCCCAATGTGCCCAATCACTGAGATAAGTAACATGGTATTCTGGCAGGGTGGCAGATCTGGCAGTGGAAATATTCCATCATCAGTTATACCTTCAAAACTAGAAGAAAAACTCCCCTTTTTCATCCCTTGTTCTCAGTGATATTTTTTACTACAGATAACAAGACTGGTGTGCTTGCCTTTAAGCAATGAGACCCATTCCCTATACAAATAGGCCAGCCTGCTACTTCAATCTCATAGAATGGAATTCTGCCCCCTCTTCTGCTGGCACTGCCAGTCCCCGGGCATCCTAGCTACCAGTAACCAAGAACTTTCATTCACAAGTATGGTTTCCGTAGCATAGGACCAGTGAAGTCTTCTATCGAGTAGTGGATTTGGAATGTAAGCCCAGTAACTAAAACTGCCATTAACACAAGAAGTGACAAGAAAGCCACCAGAGCAAGAAACAAGTTGGTACTATTTTGTCATGATGTGTTTTTTCAAGCGTCCTCTCGCCTTCCTGTGTGGGTTTCCTGCCCCCCCCCCCACCCCATGTAGGTAATCAGGCTTGCTGGGTTTTAGGAAGTGTTTGTCTCAATGTTGTCATATTCAAGCTTAACCTTTCCATTTCATCAATTGGAGGAGTCACCTCAAAATGTTTATACTTGCTCATTTTCTAGGTTTTATTCGTTGGGCTGGCACCTAAATTACTTCTCTGCTATTTCTTTTTGTCCAATAATGGTCTGCAGCATAAGATCCATTTAGCAGTCAATTTAAAAAGTTTAATGTAAATAGAGATGTTTGTACAGTTAGTCTAGGTGTATTCATGTGTATACTCACATTATTTTCCCCTCTTCTATTTTTTTGAGCATATTTTTAAACTTCTATTAGCTAGTCCTATAATTGTCTACTGTTATGGTTTGTGCGTAGGTGTTCCCCAAAGCCTCACGCCATCACGGTGCAGTTTCTGGAGTTTGTGATTGATTATTGTGGGTGTGGATGCTGCACATGCCCTGGGGCAGGTACTTTGCATTACAACATAAGGAGGGGAGAGAAGCTAGCTAGCTGAATAAACTGCTGCCGCTCCCTTTGCTCTCTTACAAACATGAATGGCTGCTCTCTGCCATATGCCACTCTGCCTTGGACCCAGCTGAGTGTGGACTGCAACTTCCAGTAACTGTGAGCTAAATGAGCCTTTCCTTCCTTGATTTTGGGTGCTGAATATTTGTCCCAGTGACAAGAGAAGAGTAAATAAAACATCAATGGATATTCTAATATTTAAATTCCTGTGGAATGTTAACAGACAAAAGTTACATTTTTTACACAGCAATTTAGAAATCAAAACCATTGACAACACTGTGGTAAGACAATCCTGATGACATTTTGTGAGATATTTAAATTTTCATTTTGACATAACACTTTTAACTAATCATCTCTAATACATAAAAATTTTTCACCTAATTAATCCTTAAATGGGGTATATATCACACTTTTTTGTTAAAGGCAGAGGTTTGAATCTAAAAAAATATCTTATCACAATGAGCAATCATTGTTTTACATTTTGGAAGAAATTATACCTGAAATCATAAGTACACTTAATATACTGTGACATTAACAATAATGAACTACCATGCACATGTGAAAATTTTTTGTTTCTTAATTTAGTTTTGTACCAAAGTCATTTTTTTAAAAAGCAAACCTTATTGTAATTTTTTCTGAAAAATTTTCTTTTCAAGAATGACCAATTTATTGAGGGTATCTGGCAAGAGACTAATGAGGTAATTGGGACCTCCTCGTTAATGAAAAAAGGTTGACTGCCACACTATTCATCAATTGGAGTCTTCTCTAATAATTTTTCTCCCCTCCAGGGAATTTTTATTTAATTAGCTTAAACCTTTTGATGAACTATGTATAAATCAAGTTTTATATCACTTTGACTATCTGGCAGTTTAGGAAAAAACATACTGTCAAGTCTATATCTCAAATTAAATTTAGAACAAATCAACAAAAATGAAAAAAAAATAACAAGTGTTTACAGAATGACATACAAACACATAAACAAATACACAGAACACACAAACATCCTTATAGAATCAAGAGTGTACTCAAAATATCTTTGGTCAAATTAAATTATAGTAACTCTATTACAATTTTTAGAAGTTAATAATTATAAGTGGACTAGTCACATTTTTTTTCTAATTAGCAGAGATGTCTTATTTTATTTTATGTATTTAGTACAGAGTCTACAGGGTCTCACTACACAGATCAGACTCAGTGTGAACCTCCTGTTTTCAGCCTCCCAAGCAATGGAATTACAGGCTTGCACTACCACACCCAGTCTCAATCACCATCTCAGCGTGGCCCAGGGGTGCAACCAACACAGCACACCAGGGACATAACCCTGATAGCAAAGATCTCTTATTAGAAAAATTTGGAAGGAATAAAATATTTTCTGCATAATTAATGTGCATATTTTGTAATTTTACATTTTTGTCTTAATAGTAAAATTTAGCTCAATTATTTTTATATATTTTATCTCCTATTTACATCTTAGATTTTCATTTGGTCAGCTCCTTCAATAGGCCCCAGACTAGATCTAGCCTCATAGCCATTAACTTCTTCTCCAGATCTAGTTTCATGGTACAGCCTGACAACCCACTCTGTTACCCAAATAGATTTTTTTAACAATCTCTGGAAAAAACACAAGCATACACTTTGCCCCAGGTCAGTGGTAGACAGGTCCCCTTCTATTGCCCAATATGGATATCTCTCCAAAGGACCCTTCCTATTCTTTTTCCTCTTACGTGATGGAATTGTTTTTCTATTGCTGTATTTTCATCTTATGTAAAAGTTTTAAAATTTAATAGTATATATTGACAAGTGAAGTTGGAGGGATTGACTCCTCCTTTTGAGACCACCACTAGGACTTTTCTTATTTAAATGGAATGTCAGAAATAAGCTACTATTAAATCCCACTGCTTTTAGATTTTATTCCAAACCTTTACATTTGTTTGTAAAATAGCAAAGCCTTTTTTAATACCATTTTTAATTTAGGACTATAAAAGTTATTAAGAATTGGTCCAGGAAGATAGCTCAGTAGAATAAGTGCTTGCCTGGCAAGCGCAGGATCCTGAGTTCAATCCCAGGTACTGCAGGAAAGAAGAAAAGAAAGAAGAAAGAAAGAATAAGGAATTGAGAAATATAAGAATCTGATGTTGTCCAAACAATGGTTTGGGTGGATAGAATTATAACTTTGATTTCCCTATATAAACAGCATTGATGACACCAAATAAAACATAGAGACCATTTAGTATTGGGGCTATGCCTTTGGTTGATTTTACTCCATAGCCTAAGGGCTCAGCAAGCTGCTAGCAGCAGCTTCATTGTCGTAGTACCTGGAACGGGTTTGCTCAAGCCCACATTACCCCCACAAGATTTAAGGGGACTATGGGCCTGTAGCCATGGCCTCTGTGCACAGCCGCTATGTGTGCCAGTTGTCAGTCTGGCTCTAACCATTAGAGGCTTTGCTCCTGCCCAGATATTAAACATAGACACTACCTTGAGCCTAACGAACTTGCTGTGTCAGCAACATGTGTAGCCAATGCCAAGGCCATGGCATGTCACAGTCGACTCTTCTACTTTGCACTAAGCATACAGGCCTGCAGTTGGCAGCTTGTGCCAACCTCTGTGTCTGGAGCTGTCATGCTGATGCTCAAGCTGCTGGGAGATCCCAGTGAGGTTGGCCTAGGCCTGGAGCGTGAAAGCCTTCCTCTCTGAACACTTTTTGTGCCCCTCTCCCAGCAGTGCCAAGCTTTGCAATTTAAAAGAACTTTATAATTTTCAATTTAAAAGAAGTCCCCCCCCTTTTTTAAACCTAATTTAGCAAAGCCGGAAGGTTTAAACTCTTATCTTCTGTACCTTTCCTCTACCCTCCTTGTCCTGTTTAGGACTTAATTTAAAAAGAGTACTCTATGCTAAGTAGTTTATGGGGGTCTTAGAAATAATGTAAATACAAGAACCAAGAAAACAAAACATTTTTACATACATCTATAAACATGTGTGGGTCTTGAGACTCCATCTGTCCTATTTTTAACTCAATCTAAGTTTTTCCTTTTGGCTTTTATATGTTAAGGGAAATGTGAAAAGTTCACCTACAAAGAAGAAATCTATCCGTTGTTTTCTGCCAACTGAGGGCCAGGCAATGCAGTAAGAGTTCTAATATTCATAATAAAGAGAGGCTGAGTCATATTTCTAATAAGCTGTTACAGCCAGAATCAAAGTAGTAGTTTTCTTTTAATATGTTCAGCACATTGGGAATCAGTGTCAAGGTTTAATGAATCAGAGCAGTCCTGTATTCACATAATAATGTCAGTTAACTGCCTTTTGAGCAAAGTAAAAAGGAGTATGTTTTTATCTTTACTTTTTTTTTTTTGGTTATTCTTTCTCATATGATCCAGTTTATCACAACTGACACAAACTGTATGGCATACAACTTCCAAATCATGAGGAATTTATTTTCATTTGCTAATGCTTGCATTAATCCAGTTACATAGGTTGATGGCATCATTAGGTGAGTGCTATTGAAGACAACTAGAAAAACTCCTCTAATGCTATTTTTGCCTGCCTCCAGCTTCCCTTGTTTCATTGGAGGAGGAGGCAGAGGTTGCCAGTGGCTCTACCAATTTTTTTTATTAATTTTGTTGAGAAACAAATAGCAATGAAATAGTTTCAAAACCGATTAGTAGGACAGTTTCAATAATTAATACATTGCATATTGTTGTTTTCATAGTGGCTATTCATAGTACAAGATGCAGACATGATATCTTCTCTAAACATTATTAGTACAAATCTTTCTTCTCATTGAATTAAGAAAAAGTGGCTGTATATCTATCCCAACTATTTTGTATATACAGATACAAAATGGTCCTTCACTTGTATCCCTTTTTTTGTTTACTTTTGTGAGAGATGGGTATTCCATTGCTGTTCAAATAATGTAGGTGTGTGAATTCAGCAAAATAAACCAATGTAGTCCAGTAGTCCATAATAGTTGTGGGTTATCCATAGGACTGGCAATGTCAGAAGTTGTTGATTTGGGCCTTTTACAGCTCAGCATATTAATATGGATTTACTTTTTATACCTTGTTTTTATACTTTTCTGTTGGATGGTTAAGTCCAAGATAAAGCAAGACCTATATAATAAGAAATGTAACTTTGTATCTGACCAGGTCAGTCAAATCCCCTCAAGATTTACCCTGAAACTCTGTACTGCAGTTTGTAGAACCTTTCTCAGTGTCAGCCATGTGGATGAGTCATGGCCATTGCTTGACCAATTTGTTCTCTGTGAAAGCCTAACAATGTTTTCTCTCCATGTGACTCTCCTTAGGCACACTCTACATCATTGATCACTTTCCTCTTTGGCCCCATAATCTCCTTGATCAGTAAATTTAGGACACAACTGAGTTACAGGATGTTACAGTACAGGTTCTCCTATGTCCTGAGTCCTCACTGACCTTGAAAGGCTAGGCTCCACCGATTTGGATATCAATTGTGTCCAGTGTTCCATTTGCTTTATTTTTGGATTTTCTGATTTACATTCATCATACAAAAGAGAAAAATTCAGAGACGTTATGCTACATTTGTGCCTTGCAGTGTTACTATCAACTGGAACCTTTATGCGACCAGCCTCCTGGGTTTGAGGAATACGGAGAAGCTCGAGGAAAGTGAATTTCAGAGCAGTTTGCTCTCCGCTGCACACGCCATTTCTCAGAGTCAGAGTTCAGGGCTCGAGAGCCCAGGCTATCATTACATGGAGACCACACACTTAAAGCATTAGCTTCTTGCTGATGAGCTCGGTGTAGAGCTCTCATATCTATCTTGTTTCCAAACTTTGAAGTCTAAAGCAGCCTGTCTCTTAGGCTGAGACCAATAAACTGCCTCTTTATAAAAGAAGACAATTCTTGAAAACTATTTGGTTTCATTTTTGTTCCCACTTCTCTGAGTGATGTCTGGGTAAGATGGACATATTTACTCTCCATTACTTTAAGCTATTCCTGCTGGCCTCACTTACTCTGAGCATACTTTACCCATGTGGTCCAGCCTCTCTTTAACTTAGCCCTGGTCATCTTCCATGCCCCATGTTGGGCTCCACTATGTTGTATTTAATCAGTTTGAGTTGAAGGAAACGTCAGGAAGACCGGATCATTATAGCTGCAGAAGACTCTTAAGCTTAATCCCACTCTAAGTAAGTCTCGAGCCACCAAAAGTCTCACATTTATTAAGGGCTAAAAATAAGCTAAGGAATGTGCCTAACTAATTTGGTGTAAATCAACTGCTATCTATATTGCATTCACCAAACTCTAAATTCACACAGCATTAGCCAATAGCATCCTAGGTGAAGGATCAAAGAACAGACAGGGCACCTCCAGGAGATGCTATTATCAGTGACCTTGTGTCCCAGTCTGCCAGCATTTACAACAGACAACAGGTCTCCTTAGGCTCTTTTTCTTGTTCTTTGCTCCCTTGGGACAGCCAGCTTCTGTCTCATATTGCTATAGGGCAGCTTTCTGAAACTTAGAACTAAGTCCATGGGTTTCTAACTGCTCTGATTCATTGTGCAGCATTCATCCCACTTACTGACCATTGATGCCCAGCTGACTGGTCATTGGGTCTTTCCTATTGTGGTATCCAAGAAACATTCTTTGCATTTCTTCCTGTCTTGACATGTAGAAACAGAACATATCATGAAAGTCATTAAGAAATAGCAAGAATCAAGTAAGTGCTGGGTTGTTTTTGAAATGGAAAAGAGATGGTGCCTTGATGCCTTGGAGGAGGGGACAAGGGGCTGTTAATGTACCTGCCTTGGAATCTCTTGGTGACCAAGTTACCAGAACTGACAGTGTCTGGAGGGGTTCATGAGGGTACCATGTGGACAGCCAAAATATCTGGCAAAGGCCGGGATGCTGCTGAGGGGTCCATTGACTCGAAGGCTAGGTGGTCTGTGAATGTCCTGAGAATCCTGGAGATTGGGTTCTTTACACATCATCTGGAAAGAAGAGAGGCCAGGGAAGGGTAAGTAATGAAACAGATGTTAATAAGTCACACATGGGTTCTGGGGGCCACCAGGAGAAGCAGACAAAAAGGAGAGCAGGCATAGAGTGCTCACAGCCCATGAAATGCAGCATTTATTGTTTACAGTTCATTTAACCTAGCATGAAAAAAAAGCTAGCACTTGGAGTGTGGTGGAGGGCCTGGACTCCTGTATGACACAAGTTATAAGAGAAAGAGGTGGCTCTGACAGAACACTCCAACAAGCTTCCCAAGTCTGCTGAAGGACTGGGTGCTGTGCCTGTTGAGGGACCACAGGTTCAAAAAGGGAAATGTCAAGGTGGGGCCAGTCCTCTGTACAAGTTCTCTGGGGAGGATGGAGGTCGACAGTCATCCCCTCAAAAGCTTTTTTAAGGGATCTACATTTGTGGGCCGTGGGAGGATATAATGCCTGGGTTTATTTCACGGTGGGACCTGGAAGTAGTTTTTCCTTCTTTAAGGGGAGGTGTTGAATTTAAAGAACCTGAAGTCATCTGAAGGATGATTTCAAGGAAACAAATTGAGACTAGGTTAGAGTGAGGGCATCCACGCCAGTGGGCTGGGGCTGTGGACGGAGTGTGCATCCAGAGGAAAGTTCTTGGGGATCTTCTCTGGGAAGCCAGCTGTGGAAGCAGGGCACAGCTGCCTACCTGGGCATAGCTTCGGAAGAAGAGCTGGTGGGGGTGGAGGTGCTGGTTGGGCAGCGTGGTCTCCCCACGGTACTGTAGCAGTCTCTCATTGTAGGCCTGCGTGGGATACAAGACTGCTTTAGGCTTCACACTCATAGCGTCAGTTGGAAGTCTAAGTGTCCTCTGTACAGCCACCCCAACAACTTCATGGCCTTTGTCACCAGCTCTGCCCTGACCTGGTGTCCTGGGTCAGAGGAATGAGCATTTGCCTAAAGACCTAGAGCTGTCCTAGAAAGTGGCATTGGAGGACGAATCCCGCACACCGCCATCTGTTTGACAGAGATGTAAAAAGGAGAGAACCGGTGCAACTGTGCTTGCATGAGGGATGGTGGAAGAACATGAGCCAAGGCTTCTAGCCTGGTGGTGAGAACAGAGGTGGCTTTGGCCTACCTGCAATGCAAGGGCCAGTCCCCCAACATCCGCAGCATTCTCCAGGGATGTTTGGGAGCCATTGAGAATGGCTCTACTGGGTAACAGGAGGGCAGCATAATGGTGCTCCAGACATAGAAGTACCTGCTGCAGGGCATGGTCACAGGCTGGGCAACGCCCTGGGAGTACTGTTGAAAACAGAGCAAGAGAATCAAGTGGGCAGGTGTGGTGGGGACCTGGTGGTACTGTAGAACACCTTGGTATCCAGGAACTTTGCCAGTGTTGAGGCCTGTCGCACCTGGAGCCTTTGAGTTACTTTCATTTCCCCTCCAGGCCTCTTTTGAGGTCTTTTCTTGGGTTCCCTGTGCCCCCTCCCCATGGCCCCTGTCACTCACAGAGCTGGTAGAAGATGTGCAACACCTCACGGGCCATGATGCTGCCAACGGCACCAAAATTCACAGCTCTAGGGACACAAGGGCTTGTCTTAGCCCCAGAACTCTTCAACATTTGGGCCATAATTCTCCAACCACAAGTTCCCTCCATCATAACACTTTTGCACATGTTCTCTGTCCTTTCAGAATGGCCCATACCTGGGGTAGCCAGGGTGAAAGAATGGAGGTTGAAGGAGTCCAGCTGGGAAGACCACCACATGGTCAGGTATGGAATAATAAGGTTTGACTCCCCAGGGGGACACCTGCCATCTGTAGGAAAACCACATATGAACATGGCCTTGTCATTTACAGCCCCTAAAAGGTATACACAATCCATTCCAAACATTACTACCCTGGGCTTCCTTTCCTATGGATATTAGGTATTTGAAGGTTGGAGAATCAGTGTCTGCCCCACTCTCTTACCTGTAATGTGACAAGGGTTGCAAGAAGCTCTGAACATTTCTTGCTCGGAGAGATTGGACACAGCTCAGGAAAGACTGCAGGAAGCTGGGTCCAAGTTGTATCTAAGGAAGATGCCGAAAATGTAGATTAGAATCACTCAGGGGAAGCAGAATTGAGAAGGACTGAAAGGAGCTAAAAAGGGGCAGTCTCACACATCTTGGTACTCCTCTCTGGCCAGCTTAGGCTTTAGGACCCAGTCCAGTGGCCCCAGCTTCACCTGTAGTTGAGTGACCTAAGGAAAGACATGCAAGATGGTAAGAACCTGGATTTCCCTCTGTGTGTCGCTGAGCCTTTGCTGCTATCCCCCTGGGGTGCCTGAGCAGCACTGGGACTTCTGAACTTATTTCATGCACTTGTGTCTAGCTGTTCATTACCATCTCTGCTCCAAAGGTCAATTCTACCATGTAGTCATCCCGTACCCCGCACCCCAACCTGCATTCACAGCTTACCCTGCCCTCGGCCTCTTTCCTGCTTTTCTCACTTATCCAGGGAAGCTTTCTGAGGCGTGCTATTAAGGCTGCCTTGATCTCAGTGAATAATTTCATGGCCTGTGGGATGAGGGTGAGAGGTGAGGGCTCAGGATCAGCACTTGCCTCAGGTCTGGCCTTGCTTCAACACCTAACCGTGGGGAGCAACTTCAGTACTGAGACCTGCCCAGCTGGAGGATCTGTCCCAGAAGGAGGGGGAGATCTCAGAAAGACAATGGAAGGCCTATTTCCCAGGATGCCACCACTTCCAGGGTCAAAGATCTCTGGAGTCAGAAGGCAGCAGCATCAGGCTCAGGGAAGGTGTGGGGAACTGTTTGCCTTGAGGTTGACCAGAGAGATGGTCCCTAACATGGGGAAAACTCAGCCTGATGAGTCCTTACACATGGGAACAGGCAAACTGCACAGAAAGCAGGGGAAGAAGAGGGAGAGGGCGCTTGTTGCCTTCCCTGACCTCAGGGATTTCATCCTACTTCCTAAGGCTCCCCAACAAGTTGGAGTGGCCCCAGTTTCACAGCCTGAGAGTGTTGTCCCTGCTTTCCCACCAATCTATCACCTTGTGTCTGTCATTTCTTTGTGAATGAAAATAGCAGAGGGTAGGGTGCTGGTCTCAGACTGCTGAGGTTCAAATCTTGACTGTTTCTTGGTGGCTACCTGACTTTGAATGAGTTGCTTATTTCTCTGTGCCTCAGTTCTGACCCTTACAGAATTAAGATGGTGCTAACAGAAATGAGCCAAAATAGTTTCTTCTAAGTGCTCACAAGAATCCCCAGCATGGGGCAGGTGGTAAGCACCATCACTAACTTGGATGACTGACTTGGCCTCCTCGAGATTATGTCATGTTCTGGTCATGTCATATCTGATGGTGTTTAAAACTTTTAGATAAATGAGGAAGAGCCTTGGGATTGTAAAGTACAATTTTCTCATTTTATGGTTGACAGAACACAAAAGCTTAAAAAAAAAAAAAAAAAAAAAAAAAAGGAACAAGGTGACTTGTCCAAATTGCCACCTGTTCTGGATACTTTGTGTTTCATAACTGAACTGTGTCCTGCTGAGGAAGAAGAGAAGGAGGAGGCCCCAGGATTCTCCCCTGAGTGGCCTCTCCCTGACTTTCCTGACTCCCATCCCATGCCTCACCAAGCTGGGCAGGGTGAGCAAGGTGGGAAGGGTACAGGGATGTGGGCTCAGGGACGCTCACATACAGCATGTTGGGTGCCTGGGCCAAAGGCCTCCTTGACATACAAGGCTGCCAGTGTGGGTTTGAAGAAGGATCCAGTATCTTCCACACATTTCTTCCATCGTGGATGGGCTGGCTGTAGAAACAAAGATGGGTTGAGTGGCTCTGTCCTAGACCAATTCTTCACTGCCTTCCCAGGTCAATCTTGTTTAGACCTTTACTCCAGAAGGTCTTCATTCCCCAGGCTTCCTGTCCTATCTCCCTCCAGTGACACACGCTACTGCTTAGCAGAAGGGGCTGCGTCCTCTGCTAGGAATAGTCATGAGGGCTTAGCCGAGTGACTCACCCCCATTTGTTGCCTATTGATTTGAAAACAAGCCCCCAGGAAGCATCCCTCTGGAAGAACAAAAGCTTCTGGGAAGGAAAGAGCAAAAACCTAAACCTCTACCAATTCCAGGTCTGCTACCTAGCCACTGACCATAGACAGAGCCCTGCAGTGCCTCCACCCGCCCTCCTCTTGCTTAGAATGGAAATTGAAGATGGTGCCTTCCTTGAATACCATCGCCTATGCCCCATCTCAACACATCGTGCATCATATGGGAGGGTTTTTCCTTCTAGAGAGGAGAAGCATTGTGGAAAGGAGATTTTCGATACCATATTGCTTAGTAGGAAAAAAGGACAGGAAAAAAAATCTAACTGTACGTACATTCAGAGATCCAGGAAACTATCAGCCAAATCAAGGAAAGACAATAAGTTTAAAAGACTTTAACTTCAGAGGTGCAGGGATGGCAATTGAGAGAAGCACTGATGTGCTTTTCTAACAGCAGGATGCAAAGAATAAAAACAAGAGACAATAAAAGCATACTGGGGGTGGCTTCTGAAGTGGTCTTAGATGGCTTCAAAGAGTTGACTGAGGAGTAAGTCTAGACGTGACCCAGAGGGGATCCAGACACATGACTGGGAGCTGGGGGCAGGGTTCAGGCAGCCGGCCTGGTCGAGGGAGCGGAGCTGGAACTTCGGAGAAACACCTCCCTTGCTGATTGGGGATAGGTGAATCGAAGCCAGAGCCCTCACTGCTGTGGTTTATTTACTTCCCAGGGATCTGTTCACAGATAAGAAGGCTGCCATTATTTCTCACATCATGTCTGGGTTTCTCTTAAAATCAAATGTAGGCTGTGGTGTCCCCCTAGAGGGAACAGGAAGATGGGCCATTATGGTGGAGAGTAAAGAAGAAACTGCTCCTCCAGCCTATCAGGGAAATTATCATTTTCAAGATTGACCCAGACCTCGCAGCCCTTCTTCAGCATTCTATTTCCTAAGCCCTAAAGGTCTGCTCAC